TTGGAATGTTCACTAAATATTAAATTTTAATCACCTGCTGTTTTTATTGTAAAATATTGATTTCTCTTTATACCTAGTATAATATGAAATGCAAATTTTTTATTTTAGCTATGACTTAAAAAAAACACAAAGAAGTTTTGACTTGGAAGCTTTATGCCAATAAACCTTTCACAGTTTACTATAATTTGTTTCAATTATTGAACATCCTGACTTACATGCAAACTAACTGAAATAATCATAAAGGAAGACGGGGCAGCCAGCCTTTTACAAGTGAGATAGCTCAAAAATTAAAGATTTATAGCTTAGGAAGTTAAGAAAATCGATAAACAGAGCTTCTCTGAAATTTTCAGCGTTCCAACTTTGAAACGTGGTCAATGAAGTTTGGTCATTTTGTAAACTTTTGATCCGGACAAACAAATAATTTGATCATGGGCGTGAGAAGCAAGTAAAATTTGGGAGCTGAAGATTTTAGGGCAGTCTTTATTTAAAAAGGGAATTTCAAAGTAATTAATCTCGAAGTCTCTGATTTTGAATAATTTAGTCACATCTCAGTAATCAGAGATACTTCAAAATTGATAGCGTTTGGACTTGACAGTTCATCATGCAAAGTTTTGTCATTTTGTGAACTTTTGACGCAAACAAATATTTTAAATAGTCTATCTTACAACAAGTTGAACAATTATAGACCAAAAATATATCATGTGTACTATCACGTGAAAAAGTGATCTTTTCACTCCAAGTAGGCGCAATTTCTAAAGACATACCTAGCAAAACGTTTTTATGTCATCATCTGTGTTAAGAATAAGATAAATAGATAGATGACTGTATAAAAGAGGAGAAAAATTTTTCGATAAAAGCCATGTTAGATAAAGTTAAAATCATTCCGCATTTTTGATATGCATAACTTAAATTCTGTTACGTGTCATAATTTTGATTCATCTTGTTAATTTTTTAGACCTGTTGTATGAATATTATTTAAAATGAACTATCGGAATATTTGATTAATTACATCGTACTGCTAGCGATGATGCTGGAAAGTTCAGTGTTTTCCAACGTTAAATTATCTAAAATTTATTTGTGATTGTTTAAAAAACCCATCAATATCAACGAATGTTATTCATATCAAAAATGCCTTTCAACAAAGACACAGAAACAACACAAATATAGTGATCATGCAAATCTGTAGCAACTAATTGTTCCATAGATATCTAACGCAAAATTTGCGAAATGTAAACATCTAGATAATAAACTTCATACTCTCTTTCGATGTGAATATTCTAGTTCTATATTGTATAAAATGTTGTACACGTTATGATAAAAGCCATGTTAGAAAAAGTAAAGTTATTGCACATAATGACATGCACATCTAACATTCTTTACGTGTGATTATTTTGACTCAACACATTAATTTAATAAACTTTGCTGTATTCATATAATTTGAAGTAAACGATTAGAGTAAATTGGTATTGATGTAAGAAAAGTCGTATTTTCCACGTGTAATGTACCCAAAATTTATCTGTGTTTGAAAATCTCACCAAAATGAAGAAAATTTATCTATATAAAACATACGTGGCACTAATTTATATATTTTATTTAACTACAATATTCGTGACATCAAAACAAAACAATTGATAGATGGACACGAAACATTGAATCAGAAGATTAAAATACACCATTACATAAAGCGAGTAAATTTTAAAATCAACATACCTTCACAAATACAGAAAGATTAAAAACGACGCAACCAACTGTATGATGTGTTTGCTTTGCTTGATAATAAAGAAATTGGAATGTTAAATATATGCTTGATTTTAATCACCGGATGTTTTTATTGTAAAATATTGAATTCTGTTCATACCCAATTAAATATGAAATGCAAATTTTTTATTTTAGCAATTACTGAAGTAAACACAAAGAAGTTTTGACTTAAAAGCTTTATGCAAATAAACCTTTCACAGTTTACTATTATTTATTTCAAACATTGAACATCCTGACTTAAATGGAAACTAACTGAAATAATCATAAAGGAAGACGGGGTAGCCAGCCTTTTACAAGTAAGATAGCTGAAAAATTAAAGATTTATAATTTAGGAAGTTAAGAAAATCGATAAACAGAGCTTCTCTGAATTTGTCAGCGTTCCATCTTTGAAACATGGTTAATGAAGTTTTGTCATTTTGTAAACTTTTGATCTGGATAAACAAATAACTTGATCAGGGGCGTGAGAAGCAAGTAAAAGTGGGAGGGCTCAAGATTTTAGGGGCTGTCTTTATTTAAAAAGGGAATTTCAGAGTAGTTAATCTCGAAATCTCTGATTTTGAATAATTTGTCAGATCTCAGTAACCAGAGATACTTCAAAATTGATAGTGTTTGAACTTGACAGTTCATCATGCAAAGATTTGTCATTTTGTGAACTTTTGACGCAAACAAATATTTTAAATAGTCTATCTTACAACAAGTTTAACAATTATAGACCACAAAAAAATCACGTGTACTATCACGTGAAAAAGTGATCTTTTCACTCCAAGTAGGCGCAATTTCTAAAGACATACCTAGCAAAACGTTTTTATGTCATCATCTGTGTGAGGAATAAGATAAATAGATAGATGACTATATAAAAGAGGAGAAAAATTGTTCTCGATAAAAGCCATGTTAGATAAAGTTAAAATCATTCCGCATTTTTGATATGCATAACTTAAACTCTGTTACGTGTCATGATTTTGATTCATCTTATTAATTTTTTAGACCTGTTGTATGAATATTATTTGAAATGAACCATCGGGATATTTGATTAATTACATCGTATTGCTAGCGATGATGCTGGAAAGTTCATTGTTTTCCAACGTTAAATTATCTAAAATTTATTTGTGATTGTTTAAAAAACCCATGAATATCAACGAATCTTATTCATATCAAAAATGCCTTTCAACAAAGACACAAAAACAACACAAAAATTGTCGTCATGCAAATCTGTAGCAACTAATTTTTCCAAAGATATCCAACGCAAAATTTGCGAATTATAAAGAACTAAATAATAAATTTCATACTCTCTTTCGATGTAAATATTCTAGTTCTATATTGTATAAAATGTTGTACACGTTATGATAAAAGCCATGTTAGAAAAAGTAAAATTATTGCACATAATGACATCCACATTTAACATTCTTTACGTGTGATTATTTTGACTCAACACATTAATTTAATAAAATTTGCTGTATTCATATAATTTGAAATTAACGATTAGAATAAATTCGTATCGATGTGAGAAAAGTCGTATTTTCCACGTCTAATGTATCCAAAATTTATCTGTGTTTAAAATCTCACCAAAATGAAGAAAATTTATCCATATAAAACATACGTGGCACTAATTTATATATTTTATTTAACTACAATATTCGTGACATCAAAACAAAACAATTGATAGATGGACACGAAACATTAAATCAGAAGATTAAAATACACCATTACATAAAGCGAGTAAATTTTAAAATCAACATACCTTCACAAATATAGAAAGATTAAAAACGACGCACCCAACTAAATGATGTGTTTGCTTTGCTTGATAATAAAGAAATCGGAATGTTAAATATATGCTTGATTTTAATCACCTGATGTTTTTATTGTAAAATATTGAATTCTGTTCATACCCAATAAAATATGAAATGCAAATTTTTTATTTTAGCAATTACTGAAGTAAACACAAAGAAGTTTTGACCTAAAAGCTTTATGCAAATAAACCTTTCACAGTTTACTATTATTTATTTCAAACATTGAACATCCTGACTTAAATGGAAACTAACTGAAATAATCATAAAGGAAGACGGGGTAGCCAGCCTTTTACAAGTAAGATAGCTGAAAAATTAAAGATTTATAATTTAGGAAGCTAAGAGATCGATAAACAGAGCTTCTCTGAATTTGTCAGCGTTCCATCTTTGAAACATGGTTAATGAAATTTTGTCATTTTGTAAACTTTTGATCTGGATAAACAAATAACTTGATCAGGGGCGTGAGAAGCAAGTAAAAGTGGGGGGGCTCAAGATTTTAGGAGCTGTCTTTATTTAAAAAGGGAATTTCAGAGTAGTTAATCTCGAAGTCTCTAATTTGAATAATTTGTCACATCTCAGTAACCAGAGATACTTCAAAATTGATAGTGTTTGGACTTGACAGTTCCTCATGCAGAGTTTTGTCATTTTGTGAACTTTTGACGCAAGCAAATATTTTAAATAGTCTATCTTACAACAACTTTAACAATTATAGACCACAAAAAAATCACGTGTACTATCACTTGAAGAAGTGAGTATTCACTCCAAGTGGGCGCAATTTCTAAAGACATACCTAGCAAAACGTTTTTATGTCATCATCTGTGTTAGGAATAAGATAAATAGATAGAAGACTATATGAATGAGGAAAAAATTCTTCTTGATAAAAGCCATAATAGATAAAATTAGAATCATTCCGCATTTTTGAAATGCATAACTGAAATTCTGTGAGGTGTCATAATTTTGATTCATCTTGTTGATTTTTTAGCCCTGTCGTACCAATGTTATTTGAAAAGACTAGTGAAATTAATTGTTGGTGATAATGCAAGAAAGGTCAGTATTTTGAAATGATAAATTATCCAATGTTTTATTTGGAAAATCCCACCAAAATCAACAGATGTATCAATATAAAACATATGAAGTGTGAATTCCACCACGAAAGTGACGTTCAGGATTTTTAAGACAAATACAATTAATTCTAGACGTAAGAACAAACAATGACATTCTGATAGATGACCTTTATAATCAAAATACATTAACAAATTTAGAAAGATTGAAAAAGACGCAACCATCTACATCATGTCTTATTCTTGATAATAAAGAAATTGGAATGTTCAATAAGTGCTTGTTTTAATCACCTGCTGTTTTTATTGTAAAATATTGAATTCTGTTTATAACAGCGAGACGATAAAATGAGATGAGCAAATTTTATATTTTAGCTATAATTGAAATATACACGACAGGGATTGATTTAGAAATTTTATTGCAAATTCAATTTCAGTTCAACTCAATCAACTCATAAATGTTGCACACATTTAACTATTATTAACTTTCAGTATTGACATGGGTGTACGGGACCAAAACATCAGGATGCGGACACTACTTTCCTTGACGAAAGCGGAAATCCGTCACTTGCAGTGTCGTAGTTAGACATGAAGAAAGACATCAACTACTGGGGAGCATATTTTCTAACGCCAAACGCGTGAGCCTTTCCAGCGAGGTCTATAAACTCATGCTTACCCTTCAAAAATTTCTAAATCTGGAGTTCGTCAATAACGATTACCAGTGTTTCTGCAGTGTAATTTTCCATAATTCTGAAAGTTATTTGCTACAGGAAAAACATTTTTATTATTTACCTAAACAAAGCTACTGCCAAAATTATCATGCTAAATTCATTCTCCTAGGTGACTTGTGAAGAAAATGGTGAACAGGGTTTTAACCATTGATAATATAAATATTATACCAATAGGTATAACCGGCCCTGACTTTAATTGCAGGGATTGTTTGAGGACAGTGTTAACTTAGAGATTAGAGGGAGGCCTTAATCCTATCTAATCCCAAAATGGTGATTACGATGAATTGGTATAAGGGTTTGCTTATAAAATCTTTGATTAGCTAATCTATAATCTATAACAAATAGGGCGGATTCAACTCTCGTCTTTCGTCTTTCAAGAATTTTAATTGACGATATATTTTCTGACTTGGAACAACAGAATGTTTTCTGTTAGGAATGTAGATGCAGATTTTTACGTGGGAGAACCTATAGATGGCTTACATATTTTGTTTTCTAAATTTCGCAAGGCGAATGTTATCTGTGTTCCAGTTTTGAGGATATTTGGCTCAACTCCTGGTGGACAGAAAACTTGTGTTCATATTCATCAAGTATTTCCTTACTTATACATACCTTACGATGGAACTAAACCCACAGATAAATATCTGAAACAATTTACAACAAGTGTAGACTTTGCTGTTTAAGTTGCGTTTGGTAGAACATCATCTTCTATGAAGTATGTTCATAAAACTGAAATTATTAAAAAAATGTAAGTTATTTTCCTTTCTTTCTCCTCATGTTGACAAAGCTTACTATTATTAAATCTTTTTTACTCTCTTCTTTACATCACAATGGAAAATATTCCATTTTTGACCCAATAACGTTTCAATATTATTCACCCAAAATGATTTTATTGTTTAGACCATTTTATGGTTATCATGAGAACGAAGAAGAGTTTATTCAGATGGAGTTGTACAATCCAAAAATAATTCCCAAATAAAATATATTTTCCATGTTGTTTTAACATAAAACAATATCAAATTTTTTCATTTTTTTCAGGCTTGTTGATCTTCTTCAGAATTGAGCTATATTGAACAAGTCATTTCAACCACATGAAGCTCATGTTCCTTATATTCTACAGGTAATTATTGTTTTTTATTATTAATGAGGAAAAAACACATCTTCAATTGTTATAACCCATACTGGAGTGGTTAGTTTGTAAACTGTGCACTAGACAGGGGACAAGGCCTGCAAAGTTTGTTGTTTATTTCTTTAGAAATTAATGTCATTCATTGTTTTTCAAATTAATTGATTAAAGCAATATTTGTATTGTACATACGAGTATAAAATGGGCTGACTTTTCTACCGAGATTAGAGATGCAACATTTGCATGTATAGGTGCCCACTTTGCTATAATTATACATCAGATCTCAGGTGTCCAATAAAAACATTCCATTATGAATTATAGCTGTAAATTTCATGTGCAAAACACTTTGTCAATAAAGTGAATGGTTTGAACACATTGTGGAAGTATAGCTGCATGTTTGTTGATGTTTATCATAAAGGATACTACAGTATTGAGAAGGACTGTTGGGGGTAGTCTTGATTGATGTTTTCACATCTAGATGAGATGATTACTGGTAACAATGTTAAAATGTCATTCAACACTAATGCCACTGACTTTTTTAGTCTTTTCCTACCTGGATGGTCAACTTCTATAGATTTTCACTAAGTTTCATTATAAGAATTATATTGAAATATCGTTTATTTTACTTTCTAATTGATTACAATCTTTATGGTATGAACTTACTTCATGTAAGAAAAGTTCATTTTAGAGGAATTTCTTCAAAAACAGGAAAGTTTCATTATTGATTTTTTCAGCATTCTATAAAAATCTAACACCACAAATGATTATTTACCATCAAATTGAATTTTATAGATAAAATTCTCTCATATAATAATAAATCAATTCCACTTCATGGTTCATCTCCAAATTCATTTCTCAATTTTCCTTCATCTCAACACTGGAATGAAGACACTATTCCTAGGTTTGTCTGATTCATATATTTTACACTTGAGGATTAATTGAAACCAAAAGGATTTGTGTAAATCCTTAATCCTAAATTTGACACATGTGGGTATGATTTATCCCAAGATTTAAAGTCAATGCTCAATCCAGATTACAGAATTTGCATTTAAAAAATTAGTTTAACTTTGGAATGATTCTTTGTGATAACTATCTTTACAGTTGATATTCATCATTTTAATGTTTGTTATTTGTCATTATTTAGAAATTTATGCCTTGATCCTACTGTGAAAAAGGTCAGTCATTGTGAACTTGAAGTTGATGTAATTGCTGAAGACATCTTGAATCAAATAAATGTTGAAAGTAAAATTTACTTATCTTTACGTCTTCATTTTACTGTTTATACATCTTTAATGAGTTTATTATGTTTATGAAGGTTGTATTGGTCATAATCCTGGTATAACTGCTATGTGGGAAGATGAAAGACAACGAAGACGAGATATTGGACTATCTTCACAAGTTGCTCTTCCTGTTTCACAAGGTAAGGTACAAAAAATACATGTCACATCATTGTATAGCTCACAATACATTTCATGTATTTTATATTGTCATGGTATTTATGATTTATGAGGCTCTGACTTATATATCCCACAATGCAGCTGTTTTCTAGTGCATAAAATTTCATGTTTTCTTAAGTTTAAACATTGTCATCGTTACATGAAGATGTGTACAACTGCTCCTTTATTAATTTTCTTTTACTTAACAGTTAACAATACGTAGGTAAAAATTCAACTTTTTTGTCGTTAGATCGTATTCAGTCGATATTACGTTCATTATTATACAGCGCTAATTGCTAAATTAATATTTTTAAACGTGAACAAATTCATATGATTTACGACAGTGTTTTTCGTTACAATCCCTGATCCAGGTACAAATGTATGAGAGAAATTTTTGCGCATGTTACTCTCTCCTCTTTTTTTGTGCAAAAGTGAAAAGAGAATAACCGAATATACTTTTGCTTTCTGATTATTAACAGTAACATCCTTGATGTTTGCTTACGATAAAAAACATCATATTTGTTCAAGGTTGCCAGTTTTGCTTAATAATTTGAGCCAAATTTTGCTTCTTTTTCTCACGTTAGGCTTATTTAAAATCGAAATTCCCTTTGGTTTATTTTTCAAATTTGGCTTATTTAAGTTTTTTTTTTGTCTTCTTTTAAGAATCAAAATCAAAATGTTTCCTGATTTTACTGAAAATACTCAAAATAGCTATGATGCCAAAAACAGTACGTAACGGTTTACAAAACAACGCAAATGCAAAATTGACATAAATAATGTATTACATCCCTATTGTCATAAGCATATAAGCACCATGTATGTAGACTGTTGACAGACTTCTCAGTCTCAAAGTGACAACGTCTTTGAATTTGATGACATTGTGTCAACATGGATTTTAATGTCGTGCAGCGCACTCGTTTATAAAGTAAAGATCAGTAAAGATTAAGCTTGAAAACTTTTTTCAATTTATGTGGTGGTAATCAATAATGAAGTTTTTTTGCATATCGTTTGAAAAAGTGATGTGCAATGGTTTTCATTTTAGCTAAAACGATGTGCAAATTGCACATTGCACACCGTTAATTCGCAAACTACCATAATTAGACATGGATATCAATGGTGATTGTGTACAGTTCCATTTGTGTTTAGTAAAATTTGTCTTATATGAAGTTTTTCAATCAATCTTTTTTATTTTATTGTTTATTGAGAAGGTAGTGATGATGAACATGATGAAGATATTGATGAAGATAAAGAATCAATATTAATGTCACAGCCATTTTGGAAAGATGACGAAGAGGGACATGATTCCCTAAGGTAAAAGTATCCATTTTTGTTTATAAAACAAAGACAGAAAAATGCGTTAGTTGATTTGTCTATAGTTAAGTTAACATTAGCTAACTTGGCATGAGTGAACCTATCTGAGCTCAATCAATTAAAATCAATCAAAGAGAATTTACAAATCAATCATAAATACATGCCACAGGAAAACTTACAGCCATTTGCAATTGACTGTGAGGCGTGCATAACTTAAACATTTGTTATAGTTTCAAAACTTGATGTTACTAACATCTAACTGATTGTTGCTAAGGCGTTACCCTTAGATAGCATTGGTTAATCACAAAGTGTCGCTCTCCGAGTCTACGACAAAGACACACTGTGTCTCACCAATACCAATTTAAAGTTTTATATCTAACGATAAAGTTTAACGTTTTGAAAGGTCTTTTCATACTTATATAATTTCAACATGTCACGGTTGTTTATTAAATAAAAACAAAATTTTCCATAACTTTTAACACGTATGCCTTAGCAACAATGAGTTAGACGTTAGTAACGTCAAATTTTGAAACTATTAACAAACGTTAATTGCAAATAGCTGTAAAACACTTGTTTCGTTTTAAATTTGTCTGTTTTGTACTATTGTTGTTTTATAAAAGAATTAAATGACATTTTATTGTTTACAAAGGCTTATGCAAACCTCGGAGACGTTTGTGAGAACTTTTGAGACTTTGACTTGCCTCAGCACTGATCATTTCTCAAGTTCTCCTAAAGGTCTCCTTGGTTTTCATAAACCTGTGAAAACACTGTACACATCTTAAAGTAGCTGTCTTCTTCACTTGCAGGTCTGAGGATGAAGAGGAAATGGACTGGAAACCACCTTTACGTATACCTCAAGTGAATGGTCCTGGTGATGACGAGGACTCCAGGGGACATGTGTAGTCAATCGATTTTCACTCCGCTAGAGAATCTCGAAACACTAAACACGCGTGTCTGCGTGTAATCTCGCGTGTCTGGATGTAAGATTTGGCTTTAATTATTTGCTTCAGGTAGCGTTCCACGTTCAATGGTAACAACATACATCATCTTAATGCAATTTTATTTGTTTAATTCCCACGCAGGCAGAAAGTTCTCTCCCATCCTAAATGTACAGCAGCCGTTCGACAAACATCATTTAGTAAAGATGGAAGGTAAATTTTACATGTTACGTTTCATCTCACGGGAACAATTTCTTTGTTTACCCATGTAAAATTATTGTTTTTTGAATATTTTTCAAAGTCAAGGAAAGCATGTGAAAAGAACATAGATAACATTTTCATAATGATAAAATAACATGTTTTTCTCATTAAAACTTTCACTTTGCGAAGATATTTTACTATTTGTTTTCCTGTGGCACATTTTTCATTTATCTACCAAGAGCCCATTTCCAACGCGAAATTGAAAGTGACCGTTTTCGTTCATTGGTCATTGAGAAATGGTTTTTTGCGAGATTTTAGAGTTGATTTCACAGTATTTACACCTTGTAAATCGTCAAGTTTCTTAGAGCAAAGTCCACTATGACTGGATGGTAAATAATTTGCACAGCGAATATTTATATTACAACAACCTTAGCGGTAGTCATTTGACTTTGAATTTTCTGTTGAAGTAAAACACACGAATTTAAGTATGTTAACGTTTCTTTAATTGACGTCATAACTAAAATTATTATTGTGATTTGCTCCTTAGGAGCATGTCACCTTTCACAAAGACAACAAGTAATCCTTCAATGCGTTTTTAAGGCCTGTTTCAAACAACGCATTTTACATGCGCCCAATGCATTTAAAACAAAAGATAATGCGATAAAATTCCTTATTATCTTTTGTCTTAAATACATTGGGCACATTTATGATGCTCCTTACTTCGTGTATGGATTGGTATCGACATGTTGAATAGACATCGCATAACGGCATATGTACGTATGAACATTTACATTAAAGTGATTGCACTATAAAAATGGACTACATTCTACGAAGATGGAAAACAAGCGAGTGGAAAAACACGATCTATATCTTGTGGTTTGTAAGTTGAGTAGATATAAGTGTTAAAATTAACTTGTACGAGTAACTGCATGAGATAAAAAGGATCCTGATGGTCTATCTTTATAATTTGAAACTTAACCATGAAAAACACCCAACTTAAAAAAGTGTCAATAAAAGATGTCACGTGCTGTGAGAAAATAGCTGGCTTTCACTCGCTACATTTTAGTAATTTTATTTAACGTTAATTAAGACAAGTGCAATGATGCAAGTAGGGTTCATTGAATTACTAAGATAAAAATTTTACAATTAATTTCAACGATACAACGTAAAAACTACGCGGTGAAAAAAAGGAAGAGACCGACCAAGTCGCCTAAATCAAACTGACCAGAACAACCCTTGGGAATCAGGTATTAAAGTTTTGTTCTTTTCAATATAATTAATTTCTGTTTTTGTTCCTTCATTATGCTGACATTTATAACGTGTTTTTTTATAGAGTAGCTATGTCTGTAAGCCTTCTAACTGGACAATGAATAAACGACGAAGTCGGGCAGAAACACCAAGAAACCAGCGTCGTTATTATAAGATTCACACTTGCTAATTTATTTATCCATAAAGTCTATCAGTATAAAGCATTTTCAAATTCGACCGTTAAAAATTTCCGTATAACTAAATGTTCACAATTGTTAAATTTTTTGACAAAACACACGAGTGAAAGCCAGCTATTAATTAATGAGACAACATAGAGAATTTCAATGGAATAAAGTCTAGCAGACATCAAAAATTATTTTTATGCAAGTCATAACGTCTCTTTAGTCATTTCATTTTTAATTGTTATGGACAGGTGAATGGTCAGGTCCCTACGTACTGAATAATTTTTATACATGATTTATATATGGCTGCTATTAGTTTTCGTTTTTCGTCTATTGATTACAATTTTTGTTAACACTCTGCACTATTTCATTTTTTGTGCTCTACAAAAATTTGCGTTTCTTTTGTACGAACAAAAAATATTTGCTGTGTCAATAGCGTAGTCAGCCCACATTTTTATTGCTCCGTAAATTTAAATTTTTTATACGACTGTATAAGACGCACGATCTGACTACGCTGCATGTTAAAGTAGATCATCGGGATCATTGAAAACAACAAAAATATAAAACATTATAAAACACTACAAAAATTTGAGGCAATTCTTCTAAATTTTTTCTTTTATTGGAGGGTTTTTTACCGGATCCGCCGGTTTTCCCTCCCATTTCATTTTGATTTGGAAAAAAAACAGTGTCCACATTTGGGGCCAAGTGAAGACATTTGTCATAACATTATTTATCGTAGTTATCATGAATATTCACGTTTCTTTTCATTTCTTGGCTTTTGGGTACATCTCCCAAAACACTGCGTTTATTAAATACAATGGCATACATTTAAAAAAATTGGCACGCAATTCATACATGTTGGTAGCCTGCAATTATTTAGCTACTGAATGAAGTAGATTTAATCAACATAGTCAAAATAAAATTATATATTTAATATTATTTTACGTCAAACTTTTTCAAGATTTGAAAATGCCATTTAGTTTTATGATCAAGTAATTTTCTAACCCTGGAATCCAATGTTTTACACAGTAAAAATAGATTGGTCAAAATGACCAAAAAAAATGGTCATTTGAATGCACCTGAGAAGAACAATTTTTATAGGTCAAAACAACCAATTCCTAAATTGGTCAAAAATACCAAAAACAAAAATGGTTAAATTAATGGTTAAATCAATTTAGCACATTTTTTGCAAACACAGAATACTTAAAATCTCTACTACATGCCATTATTTAACACTACAAAAGTTTTCTACTTCATAGAAGAAATAAAATGATCGACAAAAGTTGGCAATTGAGCCTTACAATTGCATTTTGAATTTAAAAGCAAATTTTCCAAAAGGATTAATACATTTTTGCAATGTCCATTAACACCTTTAGCATACTCAGCATTAAAAGTATAAAAAGAACTAAGTAAAATAATAACTGCGTTGACAATATTTTCCGTTTTCAGCTTTGCCACAATCATCCCCTTAGCCACCAACATTATTGAATGAATGTTTCTTAATGTTTCTGTTGATAGGAGTCCAGGAGACGAACTTTTGTTAATGATCTCTTGAACTTCCCCCAAGCTTTTACCCTTCAACAGAGATAAAATTATTTATCAATTTTTTCACACATTTATGCAGAAAATATTATTTGTGACAATATCAACTCTTACATCAACAATGTCCCAAAATAGCTTTTTGTTCATATCTCGATGGGTGCATTGGTCATCTAACACATAAGGCAAACATGCCATTATACACCGGTTCTTGACCTCTAAAATAATCAACATAGCATAGAATGAATATATTACCATTATCACTCTCTAAAGCATTAACACTTCAGTATAAATAGGGATTTTAACTTATTGATTTTTACACCAACCTTTCTCATCTTCAACTTGACAATCCTCCAGCTCTTCAAGGATACTGCTGACATTCTTTTGCTTTGTCTTTTTAATAGCAGACAGCATTTTATAATTGTGCAAATTCCATCGTTCCTTCATAAATTTCTAGTGAAGTTTCATTTGAGGAATCATCTGATAAATATTATGTGGTTCTAAATTGAAAAAATCCACGCCGTCGACTTGATTAGCTTCAAAAATATAAGAAGCAAAACGTCAATGAAATTACGTTATTGCTGTTGGGATTCTCTAAAAGCGCTCGACCAAATCTGCCTGCTAGCAAAACGTAAACAAGGCAAGTCATCTATAAATCTAATTTTGAGTTATTTTCTACACTAGATTTATGCACGAGACAACAACCCTCACACATGCGACCTACATTTCAGGATGAGACAATACCTTTAAAATCTTCGACAATTTCATCCAATTTGTTGTTTTTCAAAAAAAAATATTGTCAGCGACAGATGATTGTTTGTTGATTTCCGTTTGGCCCACAATACAAGAGTTTAAACGCTTAAATGCACTTCAACAAAGCACAAGAAGTTTAGAAACACGCCACGCGACTACATACATCGGTAACAGGAAGTCAGGCACGTGCCGCTTTGCGTAATGGGATCTCATGTGACCAAATCGACCAATCGCCGCCAATTCGCAACTAATTGGACAAAGAAATGCACTTAATGACAGTTAATATTGATCTGATTTTACTCATTCATTGCTCTAACAAACGGTAACGGAGTTGTCACTTGACTAGTGACGCAAGAATATTCGTAAAAATTCAATTAATTATGCCACGATTGTGTTGTCAGGTATGTGCAACGTTTTTTTCAACGTCTGTCGCTGGAATGTTGCATCATTTGGTCGCTGTTCATGAACACGATGCCAGATTGCATATTTCTGCGAAGTGCCGGAATGTAATTCAACCTTCGCTAAGGTAAGCTTTTGATTCTTGATACGACACTGATTTGATTGTTATTTGTTTAAAATATTTACTTATTCAGTGCGTTCAAGGATTTGTTGTTTAGGTTAACTCTTACAAAAGTCATCTTAGAAGAAAGCACGCCAATGTTGACTTAAACTCACGTCATCTATGTTGCGTTGAATCAGCGAGTAGCACTCACAACAATTTTTGTCCTGATGAGGATGGCCTTGAACTCTTAATTGATGAATTCAACAGGGAAAATGAACTTGATGACTCTGTTCAAGCAATGGAACACAAAAAGGCTCAATTTCTTCTAAAAACAAAAGAAATCAATCTGCTCACACAAAAATGTGTGGATAACATTGTAGAAGATTCCACTGAACTTGTCCAAGGAACAGTCAAAGCATTTAAACACGGTTTGCAAAATTGCTTAAAGAAAGCTGGATTAAATTATAATGATGTGCCAGGTCTTGATGAATTATTTGATGAAAGACACGCTATCTCAAATCCATTCAAACATATTTCCACAAAGTATAAACAGAATGCTTATGTTGAGGAACATTTTGGCTTAGTTGTAAGTTTTATTTCTATGTTTTTTGACTTTTTTAAGAATGTTTAGAGTTTTTGGATAAACTTTTTTGAGATTTTTAACATATTTGAGCCAGCTGCTCTTTAGTGCTTGTTATGCATAATCATTTTAATTGTAGCAACCCAGACGAATTAAACTTGGACACAGAGTTGTGAAAAGACGTTCAAGGACTGCGTACTAAGAGGTTATTAAAGATGACAAAATCATATACATTCCACTATTAAAATCCTTGGAAAAAATGCTCAATGTAAAAGGAGTACTTGAACAGGTCTGATTGTTAATAGCATGGTTGTGTTTTTTTTTATGTTGGCAAGTTTATCAAACTATGACAACTACATCTTTGCAAGTACCCATATCAATAACAAGGTTGCAAAATATTAATACATGTTCTATGTATAACCATAAAAGGAACTTTATGTGTGTTTTACTGTGTTAGTTTCCATGAAAGCAAAAACAATGATGACATGCATTTATTAGAGCACATTTCCAAAAATATATTCCAATTATTTCATGAAAATATGAAAACATCCTGATTTTATTTTGAAATGTCTGATGGTAGGAAGGCACCCATCCTACCACCAGAAATTTCCATTGCTGGTTAATAATAAATTTAATTTATTAATAAATTTAATATTTTCATTCTTCGATTTCAATTTCATCTAAACCATGGTCATCTTCGGCAACATAAACATGATGATGTGATTGAGGATGTTTGCGATGGCCAGTATTTCAAAACCCATCCTCTGTTTTCCAAGGACTCAACTGCTTTACAAATCATGCTTTACTATGATGAGTTGGAAATTGCAAATGCCCTTGGTAGTAAAACTGGAAAGCATAAGTTAGGTAATAGTTTAATGACATCATAGTGACTAAATCAGTCACTCAAATGTAAAAAAGTGTATGAGCAATGAAAGGCTATAAGAAGCTCTTATTACATCATATGCCATTATTTCTGTATGACAGGAGTTGTTTACTACACAACTGGAAATATTGATCCTCGATATCGATCCCAGTGTGATAACATTCACCTACTCCTTATGGCAACAGTTCCAATTATCAAAAAATATGGCATTGACATTCTCTTGGAGCCTTTCATGAATGACCTTGAATACCTTGAACAAGTAAGTGATCCTATTTATTGTTTTTTAGCTTATTACCTGTTATTGATAATTGTGCAGAGTAAGTAGTTTGATAAAATTGCTTAAAATTAACTGTCACACTTCTTTTTGAGGATGGTGGTCACCAGTTCATTGTTAAAGGTGAACCTATGTCATTTTCTGGGACTATTGTGTTGGTTTCTGGAGACAATCTTGGATCACAACTCATGGGTGGATTCAAAGAAGGTCCAGGTGCACATTTGAAATGCGGCAATGCATGGGGACCACTGAACAAATAAAGCAGAAGGTATGTATGTTTATGATAATACATTATTAACCTGTTTCAACATAGATCAAATGTTTTATTATGGTTTTTAGCAGACCAGGAACATACACTTTAAAGTAAGTCTTTCAGTTTTTAGAAAATATTTTACACTTCGAACTTGTGCTGGTCATGACCGCCAATGTGAACTGATTGAAGAAAACCCAGAACTGAAAAAAGTATATGGGCTTTGCAGGAGATCAATTCTTCGCAACTCTAGGTATTTTCATGTAGCAGATGGCATGCCAGGTGATGCAATGCATGATATACTAGAAGGAGTACTTCAGTATGTATGTAAAGATTGCTGAAGGACTTCATATTTAAAGAAAAATTTTAACAGTGGAGCAACTTAATGAAAGAATTAACTCTTTTGATTATGGATATTTTAATGATAAAACAAGCCGTCACCAATCACCCGGACAACTTTGAGGAGTGAAAACAATAGTTTAAAGCAAAAAGGGAGGGTGTAGTGATTGTCACAAGCATTAATACCATCACCCTTGATTTAAATGATTGCTTTTTCTTTTTATAGCAAGACAAATGTGGTGCCTTGGAAAATTCCTTCCTTTAGCTCTCAGCGGTGCCATTCCTCAGGATGAAGAAAAGTGGATGCATTTTCTGTTGCTCCTTAAAATTGTTGACATTGTTTTTTCACCAATCACAAACACTGATGAACTTGCTATCCTGGAAGGATACCTGAAGAAATTTTTGTGGAAATTCACCCAGCTTTATCCTGGGGTTTCAGTTATACCCAAGATGCATTACTTGGTTCATTACCCAGCTCATATTTACAGGTATGATTTTGCTGGTTTGTATCTTAGTTTATAAATAAAAATATAGTATGTAACTCAAAATGCATGTAAAAATTACATCATTGGTTTCCCTCTAGCTAACATGAGTCCTTGATTTTTGAGATTTGGACCAATGATTCGGAGTTGGTGCATGCGATATGAAGCAAAGCACAGTTACTTTAAAAGATTGGCTTCATACCTTGGAGACTTCACTAATGTTGCACTTAGCCTTGCTGAAAGACATCAAACCAGAAGTTGCTATCTAGGAAATCAACCCATTGCAAAAAAGCCTAAAATTGGTAGGATTTTTTTGAATAGATTGATTTTAATTGTAAAAACGAAGAGGTCAATTTTTAGTAACCTCTCTAGTAAGATAATAAATTGATGTTTGTTTGTTTCTCTTTAGATTCTGCAAAAGAAATTGTTGCTAAGGATAGTGAACATTATTATTTGCTCAAAGAGAAGGAACCTAACTTAAGTGACATTAGTATTTTGTCAAGGTAAAGTACACATAGTGATTATTTTTATTACAGAAGATGGTGACTATTGCGAGAAAAAATTGATAGTACTTTATAAAATGAAACCATGGCTATAATCTGACTCTTAGACAATTTTAGATCCAACCCAGATCCTGTGAGTTTTGCACCCATTATGCGCTTAATTTGCGTCTTAGTAAGCATAAGCATGTCAAGGCCGTCAAGTGCTTTTTTGGTAAGTCGTATAGTCACTCCGGTTCCGTCTCTGACTGCCTTTGCCAGGTTATTTTTCTGAGCCGTTGAAAGTGTAACGCCGTGAACTGTGTAGTTATTACGTCCACCGCGTTTAGCAGCTGCACCACCTTTCCTAACTACACCACTACCAGCAACTGCTTTTTGAGTGCTGCCGGTGATAGCACCTGATATAGCTGCTAGGCCTAGAGACGGTAACACTTTTGGTATGTGTTTAGTGACCGTAAGTATGAGTTTTCCAATAAGATTTCGAATAAAGCTACCACCTTTTTATACTCCTTGACCCAGGAAGATAAATACCAGCGTCTTTAAATTCCTGAGTGATTACTCGCTCCTTGGCGGGTCTGAGAGCTTCAACAAATATTGCGTTATTAATGTCCGACATTTTTGTGCACATGCAAAACAATATGCGTATATAAACAGTCGAAAAAATTTTTGTTTTTTTATCTTATAAATTATTTTTAAATATTAACATATCACATCAGACAAACAGTCTAAACGATTATGTCCATTTTACCGTTTATCCCATTAAGTCGAATAAATCGTTCGCTAAGCACCAAGCAGAACATGTTATACTCATTGCTGCCACCAGCATTAATCGCGCTACGAAAAGCTTGGTTCAAGGTCCAACGAATTCTAATGTTTGTCTCCTTTTTTTCTCAAAACATCGGCATGATGACTTACATCAAAATGGTAAATAGGAAACATGCTTACAAAGTCTCCTAAGCTTACTTCAGAGCCTGCATCTGGATCGCTGTACTTCATTGCAGCGTCTCGAAACATCATGAAGGCTCTGCTGTAATTGCTGTTAGCAGCTGTGTAATTAACATCAAGCTCTTTTTCAGGATACTTTTGAGTGTTATTGATCTCAACATAAATTCGACTTAAATTAGCATGGTCAAAGGCATGTATAGTTTGTTCTTGATTGTTAAAGCGTCCAGCGTCTTGGAAAGCCACAAAGATGTGAGTTGGTAGCTCTTCACTACTGTTTGTTGTTACAAACCACGATCCAAAGGTCTGATTAGGGCCAAATCGTTTTTGGTTATACGACTTTGCTCGAAATACAGCATGCGTGTGTATCCAGGGACCAACTTGCTTTCTATCATAGTCTTCACTTCG